CATTCCCTCAAGCTTTTTTTTTTTTTAAAAAAAAAAAAAAATATTAACCATGTAAACATGAAAAGGGACACAGTGGCTCAGTGGCTAAGAGGCTGAGCTTGTCGATCAGAAAGTTCTGTGGTTTGAATCCCTAGCGCCACATAACGGAGTGAGCTCTCGTTACTTGTCCCAGCTTCTGCCAACCTAGCAGTTCAAAAGCACATAAAAGTGCAAGTAGAAAAATAGGAACCACCTTTGGTGGGAAGGTAACAGCGTTCCATGCGCTTTCGGTGTTTAGTCATGCCGGCTACATGACCACCGAGATGTTTTCAGACAGCGCTGGCTCTTTGGCTTTGAAATGGAGATGAGTACCGCCCCCTAGAGTCGGGAACGACTAGCACATATGTGCGAGGGGAACCTTTACTTTTAAAGCACTTTTGACTATACAAAGGATGATCTCCAAGGGCTTGAGATTTCCCACCCAATGTCCTGTTGCACTTCCTACCCCTTTTCAAATGTTGGGCTACTCAATTACAGTTTCTCAGTTTAAGAATGAGCCTTCTCAAATGAAGACGAATATACGTGTCCCAGGATCCAATCTGGGTCTGTCACCGGGACCAGAGCTTTTGAGTTCAGAAGTTCTCTAACTAGAGAGAAGTTCCCTGAAGATGGGCTCCAGCATGAGTCCAAAAGTTCGGAAGACAAAACTTCTGGTCCCAGTGACCGACCCAGCTTGGTTCCTGCAATAAGCTTTCTTTCTCCAGCACACTTGCAAAGAGGTATTTAGAAGACTTTAAATTAACCATTGTTCAGGTAGTGATTAATCATAATGGCCAGAAACAAGCCAGTTTCATAAAGGATGTTTGGAGGCTAGCTTCTTTGCCCTGATCGTAGGGTGAATAAAGAATAACACTTGAGTCATGTCAAATGTTTTGGTTGTGACTCCAAATCCCTTCCCATTTGCCAGTGCCAGTCTGGGCTGATGTGATTGATGCCCAAAAACAATTAAAGAGAAACAAGACCTCTAAAAATGCCTTACACTGTTCCAAACAATGATTTGTCTAAAATTAAAGCAGAGGATTGCATTCTGCTCAAAACTGCTGGGGTGGTGGTGGTGGATGGAGTGAGACATCTCCTCCTAATTTAGAATTTCATTTGCCCATTTTAGAGGGATGATGTCAGGGTTGGAAGCACACACAAACACACACACACACTCCTGGAACTTTTTTTCTTTTAAAGTAAGGGAGCAACACAAAATTGGGAGTCAAGATATTTTGATTCATCTGTAAGAATTTCAGAATTCAAATTCCTTTCCAGTTGAAATGAAATACTGTATAATCAAACCGCAGCAAACAGCTAAAAGCTGGAAGAATAGGTGGCATACTTAAAGTCCCCCCCCCCTCCCAAGAATAAGGAGACTGTCCCTAATTTTTTTCAGGAGTTGGTTGCTTCTACTTTCTTCCAAAGAAAATAGTAATGTGTTGCTTTTGTTCCGCTTTGCTTCTAGAAGATGCCCCTTCGTGAATTGTTCCTGGCCCTTTTCTGTCTTGCCCTTACTTGTGCTCTTTCCTGGATTACTAGTGGCCTTAGGTGCTAATTCCTGTATTGGCTGATCATAAATGTCTGTTGTTAAGTGTGCATTTCTGAATCAGTTTACTATTTATCTTCGGTGAATCAATGGGGCAATACCGGAACAGTTGGGTTTATTCTATAGGGAATGCCCTCATAATATGCAGGTAGATGAGGAGGTTGTTTTTAACGGGTGATGCCTACGATGTTGCAACTACTCATCTGGTTTGTATTACGTCATAGGCCTTCATGGAAGCTCTGGGAAGTTGACCGGCTCAACATCTAGCTTGAACAAACTCTCCGTTCAGAGTTCAGGAAGCCGTAGATCTCAATCATCCTCCTTGCTAGATATGGGAAACATGTCCGCTTCTGACCTTGATGTAGCAGATAGGACTAAGTTTGATAAGGTAATGCAATGATTCTGGGTATAATTGCATGCCAGCTATTGCGCCTCCCAAAATACTAAAAATATTTCGAGCAATTTCAACCAAACTCGGTACACAGGTGACTTACTCTCTGAAGACAAATGCTGTGGGGGCATAAGACACCCCTAACACCCCTTGGTGGTGGTGGTGGTGGTGTTCTGTTAAGATGCAGCCTGTTGTGCCTTTAAATGGCTTTTACTGTACTGCCGTAAAATGGCTATACAGTGCAGTGGGAATTGCCATGGTAACGGCTTCATATTACTCCACAACGGGGCTCCCTCTGCTCAGGGGGAAAATCCAACATTAGAAATTACGTTTGGTCCGGACATTTTCTCCCTATAAATAAATAAATACCCGGGCAATGCCAGGTTATCGGCTAGTTAACAAATATAAATGCCACTGCAACCTTCTTGTTTCACATGAATCAAGTATTCCAAGCTCTTTCCCATACCTGGGACCAAAGATCTTCAGGCTGTAATTCTTCATATTGTTTCTCAGAATTTGACGTCAAAGGGAAAAGGATATCCGATGGGCCCACAATAATTGGCAGAAATTCCTCTGCTGCCTTTTCAACACGTGGAGAATCCACATGGCAGCAGTTTCTGCCTTATCAAGATAGAAAAAGAGGCTATGAGTAGGCTAGAAGTTGATCTCCTAATTTTTTTTGTCTTTTAATGACAAAAACTCCTAATATTAGCTTTTAATATTTTAAGCACCTTTTCCAAATCTGGCAGAGCTATATTCTTGAGCTATTTCTGCTTTTTCCTTCTTCCTCTAATAGCGTCTTATGACCACAGGTACAGTCAATTGAAAACACTTCCATTGCTCTTAAATGGAACATAATGGCAATAAGAGATTTGTATATGTGTGTTTGTGTGTGCTAAATATCTGTTTTGATCCTCATAGATTTTTGAACAGGTCTTAAGTGAATTAGAGCCTCTCTGTCTGGCAGAGCAAGACTTCATTAGTAAATTCTTCAAACTTCAACAGCATCTCAGCATTCCTGGAACACCGGTGGTAGGACTCTCAATTTGGAAATTATTGACTCAGAACTAAATGGCTGTAACCTTAGCCTGATTTCCATCCAAATTTTCATTTATTTTCCAGAGCGATACCGAGGAGACTGACGGAGGGACTTTAACAAAACCACACAATATTGGTGGGCTGCAATCAGCATATTCAGAGTATGTTTCCAATTAGCAGAGGGATCTTTTGAACATGAAACATTCTTTGTGTCTTGAATACATTGTGAATCTTTGTTGTTGCTGAAGAAGTTAGCTGCATATAAATCACATAAATAAACATGCTTGCTCCTGGGGCAATTAACAATTCCAAATAAAAATAACAGAAAATTGTGTTTAGTGTGGCCTTAAGCATAACGTATTTTATTTGGTTTGGTTTGGTTTATTGGATTTATATGCCGCCCTTCTCCCAAGGACTCAGAGCGGCATACAACATTAAAAAAACCCACATATTACAAAAGTTTTAAAAAAAATTAGAGTATCCAAAAAACAAACCCAATTGAGATTAACAATAACATTTTAAAAAAAATTAGAGTATCCAAAAAACAAACCCAATTGAGATTAACAATAACATTTTAAAAAAAATTCAATTAAAATTAA